GAAACACAGCTTGCCAGAAAACAAACAGAAAGATTAAACCAGGTACCCCAGTGATGACCCACCCTGGTTGATTCCTCCTCTGCTTCATTCCCTCATCCAGGCACACAAGAGCAAGATATTTTGCTTTCTTAATCTGTCTTTACATCACTATCTCATATGAAAGTTGAGTCTGCCAGGCTGATGCTCCTACAGACCAGCATATCTCAAAAAATGGATAAAAAGCAACACTGCAGCAGTTATATGGCTTCACAAGCTGACCTGATCATGCTCATCTCCCCTAAGTAATCTGTGGTGAGCTTGGAGTGGGGAGGATTAGGAAAAAAATGGGGGGGGGGGGAAGAGGAAAAGGGACCAAAAAAAAAGACAAAAAGGAAAAAAAAAGGCAAAAATGGAAAAAAAGGACCTTACCTCCTACTAAGTCTGACCAAAGTAGAGATAAATAGAAACTATGTCTGAGAGAAAACAGCAAGAAACCCATTACCTATAGAAATATTGAAAAACCCAAAATCTATCACAACAATGTTAAAACCCAAAACTTTTGGCCTTTGAGAGGGGGAAAAAAAGAAAAAGGCTTCAATTATTTTATTTCCAAGAGGTAGAAATCTAGGGCTGGGGATTTTTCTCCCAGAGAGCTCCATGTCTGCTATGGCAAAGATAAAAGCCACCTTTGTTCAAATAGAAGCCAAAGGTTCAAGAAAGGGAAAACCAAAGAATAAAAGATTCTCAGCAACAGCAGAGAGCTTCCCTTACACTCCTCTTCACTCTCAGTCATTCAGGGCAGCTAAACCCCAACACAAATTTTGCTCAGAAAAAGCCATGAGGCACTTACCTTGCTTCTGTGCAGTGATAGCAAGTACAGGGAGGTCCATGATCATGGGAAAGATGTCAACCAGAAGGACTGAAGGAGGCTTCTATGCTGGACCCATGCTGCAGGGCAGAACACCAGCTCCTCACTGTGTGCTCCAATTCCACCCACAATATTGAAGAAAAGTCTTCTTGTTAGAATTCAGGCAGTATGTCTCTCTTGTTCAAAGCAGACAAAATTCAAATGCCACTGGGTTTTACCCCTAACAAGAGAAAAAGCAATGGTTTGACCTCTCTACGAAACACCAGCTGCTAGGGAAGAGAATCCAGGGAGGTCCCTGCAGTTTCATCCTGCCTCTGCCACTCACACAATGCAGATGTTACAGAAACATCCCTAGATGCCTTTGCCCTTCCATCTGTAAAGCAAGAATCTCAGAGTCAGAAGTTTAGCAAAGTGTGAATCAAATTGTTCAAAACAGAGAAGCTGAAAGCCCTTTTAACAAATAAAACCCAAGAACTTTCCCACAGACCACTGAGACTCCCATCTGCTTGCTGCTTGTTGATCATCAGCCTGTGCAAGCAATTACCCCCTGATTACTTTTGCTCATTTCCACAGTTTTTTCCACCTGAGAGCCAGAACCAACAGCTGGGGCTTTGTCTGGGGTCCCTGTGTGCTGCAGGAATGTGCTGTACAGCCTGCAAGGCTCCCACTGGAAGCATGAACTTCTCAGGGGCTCATGGTCAAAGCCTTGCCCTTTGATGGGCTGAAGATAAGCATGAAATATTGTGGCTTAAGGATGCCTTTTGTCAGCAGCCTATTTCCGTTAAGAGAAAAGAGGAGATCCCTGTGTAAATTAAACAGCTGCACACATTGCCTCCATGATGAGAACAAGGTTCTGCCCCTGAGCTCCAAGGAATTCCTCAGCACATCCCTCAATTCAGCCACAAATTAGCTCTAGCCCTTGTGTGCATCTTGCTTGCCCTGCTGTCCTGTGTCTAACCTCCCTCCAGTCTCTCCTCCCTGCTTTTCTGAAGTCTTTTCTCCCGATGTTGGCTTTACTGGCTTCTTTTCAGCTGGCCTTATTTAACTCCTTCCTTTGCAGCAACCCTCTCCTGTCGACTCTTTCTCTGAGTCAACACTCTTGCTGTCAGGATATTGCTCAGTTTCATAAGGGAGCTTAGGGCCAGCACTGCCACCCTGCACTCCCTTCCTCACTTGGACCACTTATGTCCGGACACGGATTATGAACCCTTAGAGAGCAGGACCATCTTCTTTTTCCTTTTTAAGTGAACTCCTATGTACCCTTGTTGTTCTGAAAGAGGAATGAGACAGAGCTTTATTCACAGTCTGTTTAAGAGGACCCTTGGGTTTGGTAACCTGGTGGCTTCATCATCAGCTCTTTATCATTGCATGTTGGGGGGAATATGTGCTTATGTTTCACTGTTACTTTTTTCTCACCAGCTCTTCAGTGACTGTGTCACCTAAAGAACAGCATGCTCTCGACCAAAGAGAAAGACCCACAGTTAAACAAAAAAGTGCACTCAGACTCCAATTCACCTTTAAGACTTTCCAGCAAAATACACAGAAAAGGAAACTACAAAGAAATTTACGGAAACGCAGTGGGGGCAATATATCTTTAATTTTTTTGCTTTTGTTTTTTTTTTTTTTTTTAGTATTACAGTATATTCTTATAAAAAGATACAGATAAAAAGGACACTACAGGATTTGTACATTTAATTCACTTATAGTCTTAAACTGACTAAGAATGAGGATATGCCAAGGCATTACAGCAGCACACAACCTCCCACTTCAGTAAGCAGCACTGTACTTTCTAGCTGGGTGGGCAGGGGCACCTTCCAAAGACACCTGCGAGTTTCAAGCTGAGCAGACTTGCAGGGGAGCAGAACAACTGAAGGTGGGGACGATTTGGAAGGGAGGTGTTGAGCACAGTTGCACAGTTGAGCACAGAGCAACTCAGGTGCTGAACAATCCCTTACAATTCTAAAAACGTTGAAGAATTTTAAAGAGCCTGTTTGAGGGCAAGCAAGAAGAAGGAAAACAGCTTGTCATAGAGGCTTTTCTAAATCACTTGGGTTAGAACTCCTAGAGGTGGAAGCTGAAAGGACCAAGCCTTTCATGAGCTGTGGAGAACATCTTGTAAATAGACAAAACTGCCTAAAGGAAAGTTTTAATCCAGATCCTACTTTGAATTATGCTGGTGTAAAACCAGAGCATCCTGAACCGGTTACAATAGATCTATTCTACATTACCCCCATAACAGAAAAATGGTTTAAAAGCATCTAGACTCTTTCATGAAATGAGGGGCCAAAACATTACGCTAGTCATGGCATCCTTCTCAGCAGGCACAGTGAGCAAAATCTGGCCAACTTCAGGGAATACTGCTCATGCAAACTACTACTTAGAGTAGTAGATAGCTTTTTTATACATTTTATATATATATATATTTTTTTTTTTTTTCAGTTGGCCAAATTGTGTTACCCAGGTTGTCCCTTCTGCCTTTGTAACAGAAACTATGGTGGCCAGTGGAGACTACCTGTTTGGAAGGCAGGCAACCAGAAATCTATGTCAAGTGCAGAAGCCAAGGAGCAATGGTGAAACACTTGGCAATTGCTGGAGACTCCACGAGTAGAAAACCAACCTGCAGAAAGATTTTTTTTTTTTACCCTGGATGATCTGGAGAGGTGGAGTGGAGGAGGAAAAAGGGGAAGTAGAGGAAATCCTTATTCTTTGGCCATGAAGACAGGAAGGAATATTAGCTCTGAGGAAGGAAAACTATCCGAATTTGTCTCACAAGTGTGTTAACTCTGGTGAGAAAAAGGGCACGAATCACTTTTGGCCATCTATCCAATCCTCTCTGGCATTATGGACAGAATTTGCATGGAACGGTGAAGTTTGAGTGAGCAACTGTGCACCTTAACTCTTCTCAACCTTCTCACCATGATTCATGATTAAAAACAAAACAGCTTTTGTAGAAAGTGTTCTAAATTACCCAACCTCCATCAGCTCACCGCATGCTTTAAAATACGTGCTTTCCCAGAACCAGGATCACCAGAGGCAAAGTCATTATGACAAAAGCAAAAGAGAAGTTTTTTTATTTTCCCTTCCTTCTCTCTCCAAGGCTGCTCACATGCATCCCCTTGCTGAGCTCAGCCTCAGTGGTGCAGCAGCCCAGCCAGCTGTCACTAGCTGGTGTAATGCCCTGGCACGGTCTCAATAGTCCTTGCTGTAATGCAGTGTATACATATAAACATAGCAAACTAAAATAAGGCAAAATAAATAGAGGTGTCAGATTTACAGGTTCCCCTTAGAGATTCCTAAAACCTTTTTTTTAAAAAATCATTTAACCCCCAAACAAACAAACAAACAAACAAACCCCAAAACAACCAACCCAGGAACGAAACTGCATATATCATGTACATCATCTACTGTACAACAGATCTCTTTTCCCCTCACGGAAACTCCTGATACAAGCTTCTCCCATGCAACCCAGCTCAGAGTGTGAGCTTTCCTAAAGAAGAGGAAAGATTCAGCCAGTGGGGCTGATCATTATGGAAATACTTGCCCATGGTCTCCCACCAGGATCCCTCGTGATTCCTTTCCCTTCCTCAGACATTTTGAACATCTCACAAAAAATTTTTCTGAAAGATATCCAGGTAGTTTCCCTAGTGAGGAAGTCTCTCAGCCTTGAACACTAGTCCTCCTTTCATAGGGAACCAGTTCCCGGACAGTAGCTGTGCTGCAGAACCTGTAAGGGCCTTGCTGCCCTGAAGTCACTTTACCTTGTAGCATTTCTAGAGACTTACCATCGACTGAGTAGAGTGACTCAGATCAAAGCAAGTCGGGGGGAGGGAGTCTTCTTCAGTCTTTTCTAGAATCATCCTAATGCAACCTACTTAGCCACAATGCAGAGACACAGAGGTAAGTGAGTGAGCACTGGACCTCTAGGGACAAAGTCTGGATAGTTAAAAAGTACCTCCTCTTCTAGGTGTGAGGAACTTCATCATAAAGCTAGCAACTATTACATTTCTGAAGGAAGCAGAACAAGCCCTTGATTATACCCTTCTTTCTCACACCTCCTCCTCCTCCTCCACTTACTTCTAAAACCAAAGTGACTTTTCTTAGAATGCTGGTGCTAGGCACAGGTGCAAAGACAACAGCAGACCCCAGCTGTTCACCTTGGACTGCTTGCTATTCCTGCTCAGAGTAAGATCTTCCTTTATCCTTCAGCACTCAGCAGCTCTACCACAACTGCTGAAGAACAGAATATTAGATGTACTCACAGGACCCAAGAGATGAGAACCAAGATAAACTTGGCTTCAGCAAGAATCTGACACCAGGCCCTACAGCAGAGCCAAATTTTTCCTTATCTTCTGCATGGGCAGCCTCATCTCATACAGTAATTAATGGGCCTCTCTGGTTGTCACCACTTCTGTGAAATCAGTGCTTCCCTCAATGTGAAACTGAGCATATCCAAAACCTTATTTATGAACTTTCACCACGGAGTCAAGAGCCAGGGGGACTGTCCACCACACTGAACAAAGCTTTCAGCCACCATCACAGATTCAAAACAGGAGTCTGGGGCACTAGAGTGCTGAGAAAGTTTTGCTGATGAATCAGGGGCATGACTTCGAGCTTTCTGTCCATCCCTGTAAATATACCAGGGCTGATTTACAGGAATTGCACAATCTCTCATTATTTATGTATGAGTCAAAGAGGTGGCAAAACTATAGCAGCTTTCTTGGACTCTTAAGTGTCACTGGAGCGCTGCTGCGTACCATCATACAGGATCTCTTTAGATCAGGGTTGAACTGTACACAAAGGGACAGAGGGGTATATCACTCTCTCTGCTTTTGCTACATTTGTGGCCTGGCAAAGTGACTTCAGTTTCAAAAAGCACAGCACAAGCCTGGTTTGACAAATACAGGGCGGGGGAAATGGTGTGTATTCAAAGTGTTTGCCCTGAGGTGTTTCTTCTCTGACAGCACTGCCAGGCTGACAGTCTGCCTTATCAAGCAAGTACCTGGGGAGCAAGCAAGCAGCTGCACTTGCACAGAGCTATGAGTCACATCGTCTTGCACCAGGGCTGACCTTGGCACCACACCTGAATTTCTGGGTGAGTCCTAAACCCAGGGAGAACAAAGAGGGGGAAAAAAACCCTACAACGTTCTAATCCCTAAAAGCATAATCTTTGGAATTCAGGGATTATCCAAATCTAAACTCAACTGTATACCAATTTGGCACATATTACCACCTCTCATATGGCTTACATGGCATAGGTTACATGGCGTGCTTTAAAACAAGACAAACAAAGGGGCTGGGATATATAGCATGTCTATCTCAGGGAGCAGCAAGGAGCTTGTTAATATAATTTACAAGAGACATTTCTAAAAATCCACTTTGTAATTTAAAATAAAAATGCTTAAAAAAGTGAGAGTTTTTCTTAAACTTTCAAAACCCTTTATGAAATACAGTCTTTCTTCTACAAGGTGCTTGTGTCCACTGCAATAGGCATTGCTGTTAATAGCTAATCCCAGAAGGGGAGTGGGATAGTAAGGGAAGAGAATGCACCCAGCTCTTGTAAGATACCAGCTCTTTACGATGAGTATTATACAGAGGCGCGGCAGTCTGGAATGTCGTAAATAGGGAAGTTCTGGGGTGGGAGACTCAAAATTCAGTAAACAATGAAACATTAGAGTTTAACAATTCTGAATTTTTTGCTTCTTTCCATAGTTTACATAATTACTTAGCTTTCAAAGTGTTCAGAAAACCAACACAGTTTGCTTCTCCAATATCGTAGTGTATAATACTGATCAGGCAGCGTGCATTGCAGAGGAAGTTCTGTTCTGCAGACTCAGTGCAGAGCCTGAGGTTAAGTGACATTCAGAGAAAAATCAAACCAAATTATTAAAGTGACAAATAGAGCTTTTTTCCACTTCCCTGGGATTCCTTGACATTTTGTGCTGTTGACTAATGATGCATAGTTTGTAGATGGTGGGTCTCTCTTCTGAAATGTTCTCTCTTTCTTCCTATCTAGGAGGAAGAATCCATCACCATTCTTTCTTTTCCTCTTTTCCTTCTCCAGGGAAGATAATAAAAAAAGAAGACAAGATGAAAAACAAAAAAGTAAAAAGAATTACAAAAAAACGCCCATGATAGCCCACACAGTCCAATCCCTTTCTTAGAGCCATGAAAACACACAGAATTCAGGCCTCTTCTTGGGTTCTTTGCTTTTCTGCTGTGTGCTTCATACATGAAGCTTACATACAAATTTATTTTTTTCCTCATGAACTAACCCATCTCTAAAGCCTGCTTTGCTTACACAATTCCGGGTCCCCCTGGAAAAACTTTCAGCTTTAATTATGGGACTCTCCTTTGGTTCATTCCAAATGATCTCTTCACAATGAAAAAGTCCATGGGCTCCAAGGCTCATCTTTGACACCACTCATATCTTACTGAGCTAAGTGATTCCCCTCGGTAGGAGTGGGGCACGTACAGTGAAGGTCGGCCTGTTAGACAGAAAGACCAGTCCATGCCAACAGCAATCACAGCTAGCATCAAGTGGAAAAGAAATCTCATTTCTTGCAGGCAGTGACCCTGTTTGCTTTTGCTTGAGACTACGGATGATACAAAGGAGCTCCCGATTTCCATTGGGATGCACTAAGAAATCTTGCACAAACAGGTAAGAAATTTTCCACTGATTCACTCTCAGCCTCCAGCAATGACAACAGGCTCCACAGTCTTGTAATCCCAGCCTGACAGTGGCTTATTTTTCTAAAAAAAAGCCAGAGCTTCTTTCTGAGAAGATGCATTTCATAGCTTCACGACTCAACCACCAAGAAATTCCAGAAAATTCCTTCTAGAAAAGCAGAATCCAAAACACTTCTGCGAATTATTCTATGTTGATCCTGATTCTTGAATTTCAATTTGTTCCGGAATCTGAAGACTTCCTACTAAGCATCACTTTGGACAGTGTAGGCCACACAAAAATACTACACAGGACATGAGCGCAAAAGAATTTTTCAGGTGCTAATCAATGGCTTATAAAATCCAATTCTAGAAGGGAATTGGAAACTTCAAGAACCACATCTCAACAAACCCCTGAAGGCCAGTCTACATCCTGAAGAAGTGACAGGTGTTTACAGAGCTGCTCTGAAATTAGTCTTCCTTGTTATCAGCAAGTTGGAGATCATGACTATTTTTTACTTTGGCACACAGAAAATTATCTTGTTCCATCTGTTAGGCCCTCTGCAAGGCCCAAGTACTTTCTGTCATCACCATGAGGCCTTTGATGACACAACAAACTCCTAGAAGCAAACCTGTCAGCTCTGCATGGCCCAGTCACAGGGGCTGCTGGCTCAACAGAGGCACTTTTATATTGGTTCAAATTAGGAGCACAGAAGAGGGATGAGAGGAAAGCCGATCATGGAAAGGTAACAACTCTAGCCACAGTCCAAAGAAATCCTTTGGGGCAGCTGTCAGCCAGGCGCCATCACACACATTCATCTTCCTTGTTTTTCACTTTTTCATCACCTTCTTTTGGTTGATTATTTTTCTTCCTCTTGTAGTTAATAATTTAGCTTTGTCACCACCCGCTCCCGGCTTGTCTCTAAGCCTTGGTTGCCCGAACGCTTGCGGTTACGCTTGAGCTTGGATAAGTCTTTGTCAAAGACTTCACCCGACCTTAATGCTGATACCAGGTCATCAAACTCCCCACTCTCTTCAGAGATGCTTCCAGCTTTTGCTTTCTTTTGTCGCCTCTCTTTTTCCCTCTGTTCTTTTAGCTGTGGAGAAAGACAGGGAGCTTTAGGATTAGATAATCAAGATGCCAGATCGCTAGATACACTACCAAGAAGCAGCTAAAATGTATCAGCACAGATTAGGGAGAAAAAAAAGCAGGAGCTTGTGTATAAGGCCATCACCTGGTGCCAAGAGCAACAGGAGACAATGTTGGAGTTCCCTTTTGCAGAAGGCAAGCAGAAGGTAGGAGAGATGAGGAATGAGTAGCACCGTATGTCTGCCTCACAAAGCAAAGAGGACACATGGAATCTATCTATGCTGATGATGATTTGCACTAATTTTACAGTAGGATAGTGCCAGTAAAGTAGCTGTGCCAAATGGCCATCTACAGGTGATGCTGGCACAGGTAATTACCCAGCTTCTGGGACCTGGCTTGCAGTGACCTTAGTGTGGCAGCACCTACCATGCTGACTGCACCTAACCTAGGGAGTATGAAATGAGTTGGGATGCGTCTGTACAAAACAGTCACTGACAGAGTCACAAACAACTTTGCACTTGGGGCATAGCTAGCTATACTGACATGCAGAAAGGCTGAAGTCCTGCAAAAGGAGGAAAAGAAGAAAGGAAAAATCCTAGAAAGCTACAGGCTAAATATACCAGAGAGTGAAAATTGCCTGAGATACTAAATTATTAATAGAAACCCTATGCACAAAACAGCTCATGTTTGGATGGAGGCAGCATGTTGCACTGCTGGGAAGATGAAGACACATTGCCTCGACTCTGGAAAGAGAAACTGATTATAAACACAAAGAGCAATGAAACAGAACTGCTGATTCTACAAATCATTGGATAGGTCCACCTGTCAATGTGATGCCCTTGGTCTCCCGAGGGTAGCTCCAAGGAGCTCAGCTAACCCTTCTGCACTGCTCAGCTCCAAAATCAGTAGAAGTGCCAAGGGCTGGTTGTGACTGTCAGGAAGCAGATTGCTTGCTCTGCACACCAGCTCCACGTTGCAGGAAAACTCCTTCCATAAGCAAACTGCAGCCTCTCTCATGGTGTATTAGCTTATGAAACCACTCTAGTTCTTTAGCAGTGGGCTTCTGCAATTTCCAGGCAGACTGAGAGGAAACTTGAGCCTAAGTCCTGGAATTTTATCCTTGTGTCTAACAGTAAGGCTGCTGGCATCCTGGTGTCTTACCTCTCTCCTCTTCTAAAAGGCACAAACTGGTGCTTTTGCCATAGGAAACATTTGAATCAGCAACTCCCCACAGCGAGGCCTAGGGCCATAGTGGCAGCCAGGGTTACAGGGCTGGCAGTGGGGGAAGGAGGCAGGGGACTGCTGAGATTCTCAGGCATCACAGAGGCTGAGGTTAGAGGGGCAGGCTAGTTCACATGAACCCCTGGGGACACACACGTCTGTCTCCCAGCAGCAAAATCCATGATGTGCAAAGCTCCCTTGCCACATCAAAGCTGGATGCAGCCCCAGTAATCAAGGCATTGAGGCTGCCAGAGAGAAATACCGCCAGTGTGGGCTGCAGCAGGTGCCAGGACATTTGCTGTGTCACTGTATACTGTCAGATGACAGGCACACAGCAGATGATGATGGAGTCTGACTGGAAGCTGACCAGCTTGGCAGGAGAAAGGGAAATCTGGCTTCACTTTCAGCCCAAACGCAGAATACTCTGGCACGGGGCAGGGGCAAACCATCCTGCAAAGTGCAAAGGCAGAACTACCTGGGCTAGATTTGATATCTGAATACAAAAGAGGGTAATTTAGGAGCCAGACAGTATGTCCTTGAGAGTTGACAAGAGAGACAGTAGGAAAAATGTCATCATTTGAAAAGAGAATTATGCCAAAGAGAGGTAATAGGGAGAAGAACAGAAAATAGTGACAGTGATGGAGCAAGAGCATTGGAAATGGCCCTCTCAACCTTTCCCTCAAGACATGAAAAGGTGATGGAAGGAAACACATTCCTATGCCCAGATCCTCACCATGGCCTCCATGCGTGCCCTGCGCTCCTCCTCTTCCTTTTTCTTCCTCATATTCTCCAGATCTTGCTTGGCTTCTGCAAATGACTGCAAGAAAGTGTCGAAGATGCCAAAAAATTCATCTGGCTGCATCTTGCCCTCGCTCTCTCCAAAATGCTTCAGTGCCTTGGCATACTGTCAAGGGGGCAGAAAACAAAAGAGCAAGAATTAGGCAGGCAGTCTGGTGAAGACAGCAAGGATAGCTTATGAGTAACCACACATGCAATTCAATACCCTCTGAACATTCATGTGGTGAGAGCAGAAACTACCCCCAGCAACAGAAGCGCTTCTCCTTAAGGCAGGTGCCTCTATCCTTGAAGAATCTGCTCTTCTGGATATCCTTTGGTAGACATGGAGCAATGGTGCTGGAGAGCACTAACTGTCCACTTATACAAAAAAAACCCCCATGTTTAGTGCCTGAGGGTAATAGAGTAAAATCAGAGGACAGCTGTCTGGCCACACCTCAGCTGCAGCTGTGGGACAGCCACGGCATGGAAGCCAGTGAGCTAAGTGAGTAAACAAGTAGTTTTAGTCCATACTTTCCCCTTCCACCTTCCCTTCAAATCCACTTTTAAAATGTTTTGAGTTAAAGGGTTTTTTGCAATAAAGTTACAGTCTGTCCTCTTAGAAACCTTTTGCCATGTCATCCATCTCTCTGGAGTCCTCTGAGTCAGGGTGTTGCCCAGGAGAGAGGAGACTATAGACACACAAGGCATGAGAGAGGGGCAAGGAAAGCAGCCAGGGCTCCCGGGCAGACTTAAAAGACAGTGAATACATCACAAGTGGTTTTTATTTTAAAAGGCAAATGTTGAGGCTGCAGGATGCATTTGGAGACAGACAATTGGCAGGACTTCAGTCACAGGGCAGTCCTGATTGGGATAAATTCACAGCAACCCCTGGCTCTTGGGCATCAGTCCTGCAGTAATTGTACTTTCTTCTTTGCACACTCACACTTAGAAGCATGCCTTGTTACTCACCAAAATGCACTCAAATCCATGCACATACAGCCTGTCAACAGCATGTACACACACATCCACTAAGTGCTACATAAGGACACACATCCAAAATATATAACCCTGTCCAGCTGCCTTCACTCACACACCTCCGTATTGCAACAGGCAGCACCAGAAATACATTCCTGATGGTACTTGTGCCCTGATGCACGGCTGTCCTACCTTGCACTTTGGCATGCCACCACTGAGCAGCAGAGCATCCTTGCAGACCTCAACATTTATCAAAACAAACCCAGACTCTCCCAGGCTACAGTCTGCCTTAAAACTCTCTCTAGCTCATACTAACACAGTCTAGTTTCCCTTTCCTTATGTGGGTGCTCTCGCAAAATGAAAGACAGAAAGAACCGTTCATGCTCCAATACCAAGCACAAAATGAGTTTGGAAGCAGGTCTTATAAACCTCTCTGGCCCTGTACCAGGTAAAGCATAAACGATGTCTCCCATTCAACTGCAGGGGGAAGAAATCTCCAAGGAAATCAGCTTCCTTCTGGCACAGCCTGAGAGATTCAGCATCTCTCCTTTTCTGCTTTCCCTGCCAGGGCCACAAAGCAGTTTGAGGCAATAGCTTCTTTTTTTCTTTAAAAAGGCTGTGTTCTCAGCCAGAAATAAACAAAGAAACCCAAAGTATCTGGAAAAAAAAGTGTTGGAAGAAATGCAAGTTGCCTTGAGCTACCAAACATGGCAGAAGTTGAAGGAAACTCTACATGGAAACAGCAACAGATTACTTCTCTGTTTAACTCCCTTTCTCTGAAACCTCTGAAGGCACACACACAAGCATGCACACCTACACCCTCTCCCCACCTCTCTCTGTAATTTTATCTATATATTATGTACACACAGGCTGTTTGAATATAGGAAAGTGCAGCAGTCTCACAGTAACCCACCCTGAAACAGTACCAGCTCTTCATCAGAGAGAATACAGGCTGTAAATACCAGAGAGGGAGATGAAGCATCTCCGTGTGCTCTACTTTCTTGTCTTGCTTGGTCCAGTGTGACAATCAGCCAGGGAAGCAGAAGAGTGCCAGAAAAGGACTTCAGCACAGGCATTGCCCCTACTGCTTGAACACACGGAGCACCTGAAGCTCATTACTCACAGGGGATGTGCTACCTGGAATCTCTTCCTACTTAATTTGCTGTTAACTCCTGTGAAAATTGGAAATAAGGCACAAATTAAGAGCAGCAACTAGAGCTGCTAGCTAGAAGGAAGGCCTGTCCAACTCCCGTGAAGCCTGAAGTCCATGGGCAGCCACAGGAGATGGCTGTTGCCCCGTGCAATGCATTGTGTCCATCCTCTGTGTTCCTCCTGTGCTCAGCAAAGGTGAGTGAAGGGGCACACAGAAACTGAGTCGGTTTGAGTCCATGAATGTCCACTGGGGTTTCCTAGTCTCTTAAGGAATCTGGGGGTCGAAAAGGCGGGGGCCCTTGCCTTGGGGCTCTTCGATCCTACGCATGTGAAAGTCTCCATTAGAGGGTGGTGGTGTCTGCGACTGTTCTGCACGTGGCCTGTCACCCAACTACTAGCACCAGCTAGTTCTTGTCACACTGGCAAGTGGGGCTTCTGCCACTGCCTCCCCATTGCCACTCAGAGAAGGAACAGTGTTGCTGTGCTGGAAAGACCGAGCTGCCTGGGAGCCTTCCAGAGACACTCATGAGTATAAGGTGTTGTGGTCTCTAAGCAGCAGCGAGGAGTCTGAGAACAGCCTGTCTTTGGTGCCCTGTAACGTAGCGCTTAGTAGGTCACAATCACTTACTGTAAAGCAGTGAAAGACAAAAAAACCCCAAAAAATCTGTGAGCTAGATGTGCTAAAATAACTACAAAAGAAATATCTGCAGTTCACTGAAGTAAACATTTTCCTTCTTTCTCTACCCCCTCTGGAGAAAAAGCTGACTGAGCAGAGAAAGGCAAGTCAGGAGATCCAGCCTCTGCTGCCAGCTCTGCCCATGATGTGGCTTGGGAACTCATGCTTCCTTTCTGAGCTTTCCTTTCTCCATTTATTACAGAACAGAAAGCATTGCCCCACTAATCTGATATAGGAAATGGCAAAAAATCAGTTGTTCATATCTGTAGGGCACTGCACCAAGAGAGACAAGCTGTCTTTTCACTGTTTAAAATACAACAGACTCCTCTGGCTTCTTTATTTCTTCTATTTCTCTGTAAGTCTGGTTCTGCAACTACCACATATGGTTTTTCAAAGCACTGGTGCTGGGATGAGGGGCAACAAGCTGCTGGAGATGGCCTCCCCAGTGCTGTTATGAAGTCCAGGCTCCTGCCTGCCCATAGTGGCTTAAACCACAGTGCCTGCCTCACTCAGGATCTAAGAGGCAGTGTGGCACAGACCAAGGTGCTCTGGATGCCAGCTCTCTCTTCTGCACTCTGTCAGAGGATTTGTGTCACTCTGTACAAATCACTTGACTGCTCCATGGGCAGATTCCCTGCCAAACAGTACCTGCTGTCGTGCACAAGTGTGAAATTTGCAGCTAAGTCTTCATGTGTCGTAAACCCTTCCCAGAATTTTTTGATGTGCTGTAATATTGTGGAACAAGGACTGAAACTTGCTTACTCCCAAAGTCATTTGGGGACAGATGAGATGGACAAAAGCAAGATGGAAAACTGTGTTTCAGCAGGTTTTCCACTGTAAAACAGGATGGTATATCTTTTTTTTCATTAAAAAGTTCATTTCCACACCATAAGGGCCCCCAAGCTCCATGATATAACAGGTCCACGAGCTCAGTGCCAGCTCTGCTTCCTCTGCCAAACTTTCCACTGAATTTATCCTCTTGCCAAAGCAAATCGTTTAGACAGTTGTTTATTTTAAAAAGCCATTTTAGCAAGGAGAGGGAAAGCGGGACAGCAGCACATACAAACTCTGCTGTGCTTGCCAACGAAATGTTAAACAGTGGCAGAAGAGCTCTGGAAACGGCAGGAATGGGGCTCTATGAGGAGAAGGAAAAACAGCCATGATAAAAATTTCCTGCTGTCTGTGCTGTCTGCTGTTGCAGAAGGAGCCAATGCATGAATGAATTATACCATGTAGCCATGCAACATGAACTGTCTTTCACAGAGAAGTGATCTTGAGTCTGTTGTTATGAAGACACCATTTCTGTACTGAGGCAGTTCAAATAAATGTCTGTTCTCTTTAAGGGAAAGATTCAAATCAGTCAATGGAAAGAGCCCTGCCAATTTCAGCCAGGGCTGGGCCCAGCTCTGCTTGTGCCTAAATGATCTCCAAGGATTCTCCCAGAAGTTCAGCAGGACTCTGGCAGCCCCAAAATTGAGATACAGGTGCTCTAAATATTTCTCATATGTTAGATGCCGACCTGCACGGCAGCATCTGAAGTTCTAAGTTACTGAACAAGAGTTATGTGATTTATTTATCAAATGGCTGTTTCTGACTGCAGGCTGTGGTGCCTTTTGTAACACACCTCATCTTGACTTCCTCAGTCTCTGTCCTGACCCATTCCTTATTCATCACCCCCAGTGGCTGACAGGAAATACCAATCCCCAAAATGCACAGCTGAAGTGCCTGTAACTGGCACCCAGACTACAGCATTTCTCTGTGCTTCATCGTGTTCTGCTATTTTCTTAAATGGATTTTTTTTTTCACTGCCTTGCTGTTCTTCAAAACAGCTACTATAGCTGCTAAGCTTCTTAAATGCATGTGCAGATTCTGAATGCCTTTCTTCATCATGAAACTTGTTCATCATGAACACTTGTTTGAGAGGAACTGTCATCAGAGAGACTGGGAATGGACACTTTTCCTCTCCACCTCATCAGCCTTGCCCCAGTAGTGGCCTCTGCTGTGCCTCTATAGAGAGGCTTAAGTTTGACATTCAGCACAGGAATGGCAATATCTGACTAAGCAGACTTTGATCTCCTGAGATGATCCAAAATGTTTTAAACCCAGGTTTGTTATAAACCAAGCACAAAGTAGAACAGCTATGAAACAGTCTAGTGATCTAAGTTCATACTGTCAATATTTAAGTACATAGTAAAGCTTCACATAGGGCAAATGTCACCTTTTTCAAGTAGGAAAATAAAATTTATACCATGGATGGTTACTGTGCCTCTGTGGGGGGATTTTCATTGCTTCCCCAAAGGAAACAGAGAAAAAATTTTCACAAACAATATTCAACCTAATCTTTCTTATGCAAAAAAGTCAAATTTTTGTATGTTCAAACATGTAAAAACTGGTGAAGGATTCAAGGGCAGAGTTTCACTTTCTCCTGCCCCCACCTCAAAGTTTATGGGAAATGGCAGAAAACATTATCCCTTGATCTAATGTATATACTCCCTTATAAAGGGGTATTGAAAGTGAGAAAAACACAAAAAGAACAAGAACCAGCTGTGCTAGGGAGCCTGCTTCAAGAACTGGTCTAAGTTTTCAATCAGTTCTTAACCAAGCCATCTGTTTACTGCATGAAGATACGTACACTTACAAGGCTTCCCCTGCAAACAGGGATGCCTGCATCTGACAACCTGGCCCTTTAAATTTAAAATATCACTTCCTCTCCACAGCCACTGACCGTGAATGGTTCTGTTTAAGCAAAAAGGCCAGAAAAAGTACTGCATGGGATTGTGAAAAATATCATCTGCCAAGAAGGTCAGCACCACACCTTGGTAATGGATTGTTTCCATAACTGAAGAAATTACTTCTGCTAATACTGAAGAAGTTAAAAAACAAAACAAAACAAAACAAAACAAAAAAACTTCCTAGGTTTGAAAAGATAACTTATATTGTTTTAAATCCCAGCTGAGGAAACATGGCTCTGATTAACTCAGGGTAATCAATTAGCCACATCTATATTTAGAAGGATATCCAATTCCAGCTGTTAAAACTAGGGTTTCATTATTAATAAAAAATCTGTGACTCAGACCAGTTCTTCCTAGGCTCATTTGGATATTTTTCAAAGTCCTCCCTGTCCCACTGCTTTTTTTTCCCTCAATTTGCTTTGCTTTGAGAAATCAAAAAAGAATAGGATAATCAGATGTCTTGGTCCCTCTCTTCCTTTAATTGGCTAGTAGGTTTCCATGGTAATAAAAAAGCTTGTGATTCAACAAGCACAGAGAGCCCATTGAGGTTGGAGGATGTTATAGGCTTTGCAAAGCACATCTGGTTTGTTGAAAATTTCCAGCTTTCTTTATTCCCCCCCTTTTTTTTTTTTAAAGAAAAAAGAGGAAAAAGAGGAAGAAGAGAGGGCCAAAATAATATGAAGCAAACATGAGAAATAGCTCAACATTGGTAAGGACAGACAGTTCCCTTATAGGAGTCCAAAAGCAGCTTTTTGCCAGTGGAAGAACCAAAGCATAGGTTGAGCAAAAGCTGGAATGGCATGTGTTCAAACATAGTAAGGGTGTGTGAGGAGAAGGTAGAGTAACGTTTCCTAAGCATGTTATAGTCATTAAAATAAAACATCTCTTTATGTCGAGTGCTTTACATTGGCTCTGTCTAAAAAAGCATGCAACAACTTCCAGACATATTGGTGGGTCTGCAGGGAGTTTCTCTGGTTATTTTTAAAGCAAAAGAATGGCATTTTTCCTGCAAGTGCCTGATCAGGAAAAGTTGCATTGCTGTGCAAGACATGTACCACTTGCTGGTTTTTAACCCCCAACTGAACCTGTAAAGAATCTCCATTGGGCTTTTGTCCTAGTGTGCCAAAAAAGAACACCACCATCTATAACACCAAACAAAAAGTGTGCAATCTAAGTCACTGACATACTGAAAATCCTTCCAGAAATGTGTGCCTAACTATAATGAAATTGAAAAATTTACCCAGTCATAATACAGAAGCCCTCAAACCACAGGAAACTGAGCTTTTCTCAATAAATTTAGTGGGGCCATGGAATGTAAAATATATTCTTTTGATTATAAAGCCACTATGGTGTGAACATTATTATACTGGAAGTAGTTTGAATCTTCTCAAGCAACATGACAACCATGAAAAATGGAAGTGTTCAAGGCCAGGCTGGATGTGGCTCTGAGCAATCCAGTCTAGCAGAAGACGTCCTCGCCCATGGCTCGTGTTGAGGGGGTTGGAACTAGATAATCTTTAAGGTCCCTTTCAACACAAACCACTCTATGGTTCTATGAAAAAATTAGTCACATCATGCTCTCCAAAAATTCTTTACCACATTAGTGTTAGACTGCCCAGCTTTGCCTTTCAACTGCTACAATACCTGCTGCCCCACTGGCATTTGCCAGGGCAGCACTCGTTGACAGTCAGTAGCTCCCGGTGTTTGCAGCTGCCAGTCAACTTGATCTCCACAGCAAGGAAATGCTTTTGAATCACAGAATGACGTTACTGCAGAGGTACATGAGTGAGGAGTCTTACTCTTCGGATCCTCAGCCTATATTGTCAAAATCTAAGGCCCACTGATCCAACGGCACAGCTTTCATTAATAATGCAACGGGTCCCTTAATGCTACAAGCACTGACAGCAGAGTGGAAACAATTCAATCCAAAAGAAATAACACATTTGCTTTATAAAGCCAAGCACTTCTAACATGCCAGCCAACACGGGCAGATTTGCCATTACATATCGTTTACTTTAGAACTTGCTCTTCTCCAAACATTTTCATATGCCTATCATCTTTTCATATAAATTCTTCCTCATTCAGCTGAAAGACAGAGGAATTAGTGCCAGACTCCAGCCATTAACAAAGAACAAGCACCTCCTTGGCTGTACAGTTCCGGTAATGGAGATGCAGACAGTAAAATGACCACAGCACCACCCAAAGAGTAACACATGCACACACGATGGTGGCTGTGTAAGACGGATCCAAGAACATCAAGCTAACCATGCATGTTTGGGATTTCTAGCCTTGTACTGAAATGCATCCATTAACAGAAACATGTAAGTGGAAAAGATCAGGCATATCACCTACAGCACTGCAACAGATACAAAGAAAAAACTTAACTCTACTCCAGCTGAAACCAGGACACCAAACTACCCAGAGGTGTGTTTTTAAGGGAGAGAAATGAAGCACAAATGTCCCCAGCTGAATAAGCAGAGTGGGATGGAGTCAGAAGTAGAAGGTAAAAAGATATGAGGTCATTATCACTATCCAACAAAGGACTCCTTTTTCAGTGATGGCTTAAAAGGCATTCCCTTCAACACCATGGCAAGGTGTGGCATTCTCTTATGGATACCACCATCACAGTTCTGTGCCATACAAGAATAATGTTAAGGAAGTTTAGCAAGAAGTGGGTTAAAGCATTAAACATTCTTTTACTCCTAAAATATATTCTAAATGGATATAGACCAGATTAGGAAAAGTAAGAAACTTCAGCCTAAACTATTTTCAGTGTCTACTAAGTTTTCACTACAGTCCCAGCATCTGAAATTGCTGTTTCCATTTTGATTCAGGCTTCTGACTGAGCCAGTGAAAATCTGAACACTTCAAAAGGTATCTTACCTTGTCTCTAGCCTCGTTGAGAAGATCTTCTAACTCTGAGAAGCTGAAACTGGCCACAGTGATGAAATCACTCATGACGGGAACAAACCTGTCCCCTGATTCCCGCATGCGTCTCTTCTGATAATCCAGTTCCTGAAAGAGAAGCAAGAGATATAGACGGGCAAGCATCAAAGTGAGCAGGGAAGCCCATCTCTTTCACTCACTGCAGGGCATCAGAGCATGCTCTGCTCCCTCTCCACACACATTCATCCAGAGGTATAACTCAGAAACCACTTTCTCACTAAGTCAAAGGCTTCACATATTACATGTGAGAGGGGAGGTCAAGGTGGGATGAAGGAAGGTCTTAGTTACAGTTATTTCTTAAAGAACAAGCGCTCCCAAGAAAGCCATCAACATGTTGAGTTTTTAAAGCACCTTTATGATTCAAGTACATGAAGAGCTGCATTTTTTTTCCTACCCCAAATAACAAATCACAAACAACTCTGTATTTGCAATATAAGCAAACTTAGAATTTTTAATAGTGAGCTTTCCTCCATCCTCTCTTCCCATGGTGACCCAATATGATGTATACTTGGGGAAATTTGCTCTAGATCTCCCCTTTATTTATCTGAAAAGCACTAGATAAGCAGCAAAAATTGGTTCTCCTACTGAAGGACAAGAAGACAGACATCATGTGCAACATTTACTAGCACCCTGCTAACCAATAAGCATTAGCTTGAATGTCATAAAATTCACAGAGTTGTAAACTGAGGCTATTGCAATACGAAGAGTTACAGTAAAAGAAAAAAGACGTAAAACCATAGGAAACTAAGTTCTATTTGTCTGCTACCTACAGAAAGAGAAGACATTGTAAGGTTCTATCTGGCTCAAGTTTTTTAGTTTTAAGCCAAGATTACGCATAGCTATCTCTTCCCTTACTCTATTCACTGTGCTTAAAGCATGGAGAGAGCTACAGAGCTCCTCAAACCGACTAAGTTATAGAGAGACTGGCAGTCTCCCATGCCTGTGCTTGGCTTCCGTGCTGTTGACAGTCCCATGGGGACAATGAAATCATAATCTGGGCCTCATCTTTATTCTCAGCTGAATAATCACTGGGAACGATAAAGCATTACTTTCTCTGTAGGGAAAGCAGCATGAAACAGCAGGTCAAGTTACGGTCTGACCCTCTGTTCCCTTTGGAAAAAAATATTTTTGTGCTGGCTGCAACTCCAGCTTGCATGCATGTTGGGTGCTCTCTGTTACTGGTCATCAAAATAGTAGTTCACCAAGCCAAATGGGTAGGTTTATAAGCATTTATGCTGAGCAACATCTTCAGATTTGCTCCACATGGTGCTGCTGAATGCCAAGAATTACTTTGGCCATCAACAATCTAAAATCAGACATGATATATGTTCTGGTTGGAAAGAGAATGTAACCACTACAAGAAAAGACCACAAGGCAGAAAAGGGGCAGGAAAAGCAATGAGCAGGTGGCCAGAGGAAGTCCACTTCAAAGAATTGCTACTTCCCCTGCTTTATATTACATCCTTTTCTCCACTGGTTTTCCTACCACATCACAAGGAATTGTCCTGGGAGCACTCTGCAGTACAACACTTTCCAGGGAATAGTTTCTATGTTACAATCACTTTGAATTGGACCTTAAAAACACAAGAAACTTCAATTCACATGCTTCTAAGAATTATGAATATTTTTTTAGCCACTCCCTCTCATTCTAATTTTTAGGCTAATTTTAGCTGAAAGATGCTCTACCCTCTCCCCCCTCCTCAAGCAGGTGAGTATAACAGTTCTGTCATTTTACTCCCTGTTGAAAGCTACTGCATTTGGAACTGTTACTGGAGAGCATATTTTTCAAAGTAAAATTAAAATTAGGAGGTCTGCTCTTCAATTTCAAATTCAGTTCTTCCCTGCAGAATAATTCTCCCAAAATGTACAAAAAAAAAAAAAATAAAATCCACACAGTAAACCAGCATGACTGTGTAATCAGCCACAGAGCAATGTCACAGAATAACAGAGCCCCTCTGTATCTTCTAAGAAATGGTCTCTACTAATCACAATAGCACAACAACAGAGGCCAGAACTGCCCCTGGTGGGCTGGGTTGCTGGTTCTCTAGAGGGATGAAATGATTCAACCATGGCAGTGGTTTCTCAAGCAGTGGTTATGATCTTCTTGCTGTGTGAGAGAAGGACTAGGCTGACAGCATTCCCTTCCACTACTCAGTTGTCCTTCTGGGAGCGTCCTACACAAAGGCAACAGCTGCATGAATGTCTCAAAAGTGAGTTTGTCTTTTTTTACAAAGAAGGTAGCTGCAAGTCTAGGAAGGCAGATTGTTAGTAGTACCTTTAGGAACATCTGACTGGGAAACTATTTTTAGTTTTCTATTCTTAAGGGGTCTTGAAGAAACACCAGTCGCTGGAGCCAAGGCTGTGGTGAGAACATACTGGAAAGGAATCAAGAATCGCACCTTCCCCTCCTCCCCCTTCCACCTGACAGTGATCTTCTTTTGTTGCTATAGTGCTGCTTTTTACACGCCAGAAAACCACAAATTGAGCAAGCAGACTGGGAGGTGCTGGCAGCCCCAGATGAAAAATACCGTGGCAGGCAAAAGACTGAGGCTGGAAGATGATGATTGTATGGCAAGGAGAGGTTGCCCATGGAACCCACGTATAGGAAAGAGAAGAAAAAAATGGCTGTAAAGTCAAAAGGACAAATAATCTAATGAGAGAAAGCAAAACAGAATTAGGTACTCACATTCCAGTGGGGTGAATTGTCTGTCCCAGCCAAAAACTGGGCCCCTGTTCATGTCATGAAATCCATGTCAGCCTTGCCTTTACAGGTACCCTTAATTCCAAAACACTGTACTCCACGTGTGCAGCAGTATTTCTTCTCAGTGCTTCATTCTCCCTTACCCCAACAATCCAGAAATAAGCTTGGAAAAGTTGGGTGGGGTTTTTTTGTTTTGTTGGGGGTTTTGGTTGTTGGTTTTTTGGGGTGGGTTTTTTTGGTGTTTTGTTTTTTTTTTTTATGGGAGGATCACTGACTAGTTACATGATGAACTGCTTGGGACAACCAGACAGCCTGGGGGCCACTGACAGGACAAAGATCCCTTCCTCTACACACAGAGACAGAACATACTCAGGTCACATGAAAGGAAAATAAACTCATTACTGTCTGTCTCACAGTGAATGAGAAGGACAGGAGGGTTCTGTGTTAGTCCCTTGTAGATAGCTAATCCTTGCACAGAAACCACCCAGTGCAATTCCCAACAACTGGCTTTCAGTAATAGCATGAAAAAACCCTACCGTTGTTGCTTTGCTTGCCAGCTCAGCTGCTTCATCTTTAACTAGTCTCTGTTTTTTCCTCTCCCTTCCCAAGGAGTGCTCAGAATAGAGGTTAGGGTTGCATCTAACAGTGCACTACCTGCTTACTATTATTTCAAAGGTCATGTGAAACACTTGCTCATCAGCCATCCATCCCCAAGTAAGAAAGAGCAAGAATTTTATTTCTTCTTTCAGTCCATGTCATTTGTCAAACTGTCCTTTTACTTTCCAGGCTGAGATCAAACAAGCTTTTCATCAGGCTTAACTCTGCTAAAATCATCAGCAGTAGCTCCACATGAGAAGCTTTTATTTATTTTTCCTTGGTTAATGCATTCTGGAATGGAATGGAAAGGCATGAAAAAAGAAAGCCCACTTTCTCTTATCATAAAATATATAGTGCCCCTGATTCTGAGAGAGATATTATAAGTATGGCACTTTGGAAACCTTCAGATACTTACAGCTTCAACAGCTTTCAATCCGGTCTTTATGTTGTTGACTTCCTTCTCCAGCTCTACCAGGCTGCACAGGAGACAGACAGAGAGCAGATAAAACAAAAAGAGCAGTGTTACACAGGGATACAGGAACTGTGCAGCAGAATTGGCCCACCAAGTCTGGTATCCGGCCTCTGGCACCAGCCACGCCAAATGATTAGAAATGAGGGGAAGGGGGTCTGCTAGTGCTCTGTGCTGCTTTTTGTATGAGATGAGGCAGACCCTGCTTGCCTGTGGTCAAAATAAAGACTGGGATTTTCCTGGGTAGAAGAGAGGGGTTGCCCTCAGAACATCTGCCCTACGAGCTGGGACTGACCCTTCAACAAGGAGCGCACACCACATGGCCAGCTTGCAGCAGTCAGCTGACACCAGCTTTAGAACACACATTACTAGAGTCTCAGATTATCACTACATATGATTCTTGAACCATATAACTACTAAATACCATTAGCAGTACATTTACATGTGATTTTTGACTTCCTCACAGTCCAAACATTGTTTTTTCCATCTGCACTTCTACCATATGGTAGTCCGGACTAGCTTACAC